AAAAAGAGTGGTGGGGGGGCGGGAAGAGGAGGAGGAGAAAAGAAAGAGAGACAAAATAGTAGTAGTAGTGTGTAATAAGTAAGGGGAGAGGGTCTGGAGCCAAGCTGGCTGCACGAGAAGGGGCTCGTCATCATCATCATCATCATCATCATCATCATCATCATCATCATCATCATCAACATTTACAAACCAAAGATAGTTGATTATAAGTGGGGGAATACGAAGCTTATAAGACACGAGAGGCATGACCCAAGAACGAATAGTCGCAAAACAGTGATATTGTGAAGTGCACGAAAATTTCTTTCAAATCATTATTCTCCTCCTTTCGTTTGGTTAGAATATTCGATGATTGAAAAGAAAAACAATAATAACAACAACAACAACAACAACACACAAACAAAACAATAATAATACTAACATATGAAATATAATCATTTGATTTGTTATATATTTCGTTAAAAGAAGAAAAAACAACCATAGTAAACGTATATATCGATAAAAAGATTTTTATCGATAGGAAAGAAAAGTAATAATAAAAAAAATAAAAAAAAAAAAACAAACAAAGTGATCGATAATAAAAATAAGGATCGATATTATTAATATTGTTGTTTCGTGATGACAATTAAAAACGATCCAGTGAAAGGGTGATTTTACAAAGAAACAAACAAAATTCGATAATCAATTTGGAAGAGCACATTTTTTTTGTTACTTCACAACAATCTCGTCGTCGAATTTATCGAATAATTGTCATCTTCTTCTTTTTGGTTAATTCTTGCTTGACAAATTCAAAATAATAATAATTATTATTATTATTATTATTAATATTCATTATTTTTATTATCTTAAAAAAGACTACTATAATTTTTTAATCAAATAATAAAATAATTATTTTTCTTCCTTGCTGTGTGTGAATCTTGAAACGCAATATATATAAACTTTATTTTTGCATCGTTAAAGACTGTAATAAATACTGGTGGAGTGGGGGGGGAGGGTGTATAAAAAGAAGAAGAAGAAGAAGAAGAAGAAGAAGAACAAGAAAAAAGGGGTGGTACTTTGTCGAGATATTTTGTTTTATTTTCTTACCCCCCAACGACGACACACGCAAAAAGGGAGAAGAGGAGTTTCAGATTTATTCAACTGTGAGTATTTTTCTCTTTTTGGTAATTTAATTAAACGTTGATAATTATTTAATAATTAGTATATCATTATTTTGTTTGTTCCTTGGTTCGTTCGTTCGTTCGTTCGTTCGTTCGTTCGTTCATTGATTTATGTAAATCATTTATCTTCATCCCTGTCGATGAACTTCCAATTGCATTTTACATTGTTAAACTTCGATTTTATTGAAGCATGAAGTTAAAACCGATAAATAAAAATGTAAATAATTACTTGCACGATTTTCGACACATTTTCTTGTTCTCTCTCTCTCTCTCTCTCTCTTTCTCTCTTACTCTCTCTTTCTTGATAAAAAATGCAACCAAATCTTACGTGTTTTTTTTTTATTGTTATTATTAATTTACCGACACAGATAATATATAATAATGAACAAAATGATTAAACTTTGAATACCGTGGAAAATTTTTCTGAACGATATAGGATGCATGGTGTGAACAGTGGGTCAAGTGCAACAACAAAAACAATAACAAATTAATAATAAACAAATAAATAACAATGAAATAATTAACTTTCAAATACATTATAATAATGATTAATTTTTCTAAATGTTCACAAATATTAATAATTATTCACAATTGTTTTTTTATTTTTCATTTTATTTTATTAAACCTTTCGTACCTTTAAGTAATAAATAATAATGCTAATAAAATAAAAAAGAAGTAAATACAAAATCATGTAATATTTTGTTCAATATATATAAATATATTTTTTTTTTTAATTATTCTATTTCATATTTTGTTCATTCAATTATTTATTTTTAATGAAAAAAAAAAAAACCATGTAATTATCCTTACATGAAATATGTTTAATATACGTAAATTGAAACTTAAATAGTGGCAACTATTTATTCACAACCGATACAAAAGAATTACACATGTTTGCACCTATTACTGTCCTTTCATTATATATGTATACTAGGGATATCCCGCCACGTGTTTCATAAAAAAAAGTAATATTGCAAATTATAAATTGTAATATAAACTATCCTATCTTTCAAATTGGATGAAACTGCAAACAGTGTGGAAAATTTGATTGAAATTGGTCCAGTTGTTTAGGAGTCCATTGCGGACAAACAACGTGTAATACGTAATTTATATATATTAAGATAAGATATAATTAAAGATGACTAATTCTACGATGATAATTTTGTTAGACACAGATTAAAGGAGACAGGCAAAGAGAGAAAATAATCGAATTGATAGTAAAATGTCTTCTTCTCTTAAGATCTAGTAAAATACATCAATGAAAGTAGCACCCTTTCTGTTTTCCTCGTCATTAAGTTTCTACGATAAGAGAGAGAAAAAATAAAAAAATAAAAAAAAAGGGATTCACGGTCATTCGTATAACGAACCATGTAATAATACGACATATGTAACGTAAAAACGGGAAATCCATTGAGGTGGCCAAGTAATGTCGATTCACAATTTTCATTTACGCAAGTGTAACGTATGCAAAAGAGGTCATTGATAAACAAAAAATCATTCACCGGTGCAATCATCATTGTTTGCTTCATACTTTTTATTGTATACAAATTTGACGCAAATTAATAAAAAACATTTAATTGTCATTATCGTTGTTTAGTTTTAATAATTTATTTGAAAAAAAAAAAAAAAAGAAAAAAAGTAGAAAATTTGACAAATTTTTTTTTYTTTTTTTTTTTTTTATATATATATATATATATATATAAAACAATTCAAATATAAATTTAAAAAATTCGCGTAAATTTGAATGACGTTTGTAATAAAAAAAAAAAATAAATAAAGAAATAAATAAAAAGTAGCAAGTCTTCGTTTCCGTTTTTGTTAAAAAAAAAAACACACACAAGGGAATACACTCGTTGATTGGTCAGCCGGCCGGCCAGGCAACACAAGCCGGGACGCAAGTAACATTAAAGCAAGATAACCCCGTAAAAAAAAATCTTCCACTCGTGCCAAGTTGTGGTGTTAAAGAATCGCCGCGGCGGTGTTAGTCTATTTGGTTGTTGAATTGATTAATGGTTTCCTTGTATCCGATTCCGGTATCATCATCGTAGTCATATTTATTCACTCTAAGGAATTCATTTGCTGAACGATTATAAGTTCGTAAAAAAAAACACACACAAAAGAAGACTAAGAGAAAGACCTCAGAGTTGGGTGGCGGGTGGTGATCGGGAGGATGTATATACAACAAATTCATCTTTGCAAAGATGATTTGTAATCGTAAAAAGATTAAAAAAAAAAAAAACAACAACAAGAAATAATATTGTTAAACGAGACAATAATAAATATCACGAAAGAATTCATGAAAAATTGTTCGAAGAAATTCGATGAATGAAACTAAATTATATGAATTAATAAATAAAATGTAAAAAGAGTTATAGTTAATAACAAATAAATAGAAAATGAGAGAGAGAGAAAAAGAGAGAGAGAGAGAAAATGTATGAGTATGTTTACGCGGTCAATATGAAGTCGATAGCTTCATTGATAGGATTGTGTCCGGGCTTGTTTGTGTCGGGTTTGTGTGTTAGTTGTATTTTACCATTCATCCATCATTCACCTCTCCCCATCCTCATCCACATTTGATAATTTTTTCTGATATTTTTACAATTGATTTTTCCTAAATGATGATGATGATGATGATGATGATAATGATGATAATGCTTTGAATAACGTGTGTATGATAGAAAATGGCGTAGATGATTTTATTTTACAATGAAAATGGCCGAAGGCGGGAATTTCAAAATAATCTTTTCTTATCGTAGATACATTAGAAGAACATAGACGTTTTATTAAATATTAAATTTTGTTAAAAAAAAAAAAAAAAAAAANTATTATGAAAAAATATTAATTAATCAGCTCCGCCTATTTATTGGATCAATATTAACACTTTAATGGTCGCTCACACAACATGTGTGTGATAGCCGGAACAACCTTTATTGGTCCGTTATTAACTTATAATTTTTGGTATATATTTAAAATTATATAAAATTAAATTTGTTGTTAAATTGTTGTTAATGTTGTTGTTGTTGTTGTTTTTTTATTATGTTAATTTTTTCGTGAATTTAATCAAATGTTTTTAAATTAATTTTGTCAAAAATATTATCATCGTCCCTCGGCAACGTTTGACTGCGTCAACGTGCGGCCATTAAAGTGTTAATCTTCTTAATATATATAAATTACGTGTCACACGTTGTTTGTCCGCAATGGATTCCAAAACTACTGAACCGATTTTAATCAAATTTTACACACTGTGTGCAGTTTCATTCAACTTGAAAGATAGAATAGCTTATATATCTCAATTTATAATCGCAATATTATTTTATAATAAGACGTGTGTATTGGACTGATTGTGAGCCACATCAACGTGCAGCGGGGCACCCCTAGTAATAAATAGGTTGAAATGTGTGAATATTTTTAATAAAATAGTAATATGTTGTAACTCTGACACAACCCAATCTATCTCATCTATTTGAACATACTATTACGATAAACAATTAACAAATTATTATTCATATTGACCAAACTATTTTCATATTAATATTGATAATTTATTATAAACAAAATAATGACCATATAAATAAAAAATATATAATTAATCAATATAACTATCTCTCTCTCTCTGACGTATACTTGGGAACGAACCTGTAGATAATTAATTATACTACCCGAAGACAAATGATGATCCCTATTAAAGATATTTTATTTAATTTCATTCTTTGTTTTGTTTTCTTTTCTTTTCTTTTTTTCAAATATCTTCTTCACAGTAAGGAATGTCTCCTAATCGGCACAAAGTACTCTTGACAATTTTGTATATTATTAAATATTAATTAATAATAAAAATGCACTTACCGCCTGACGTTCCATGAGTAAACATTTTCTTAATGATCGCTGTTTTTTCCTTGTAAGCATCGACATCAGCAACGTTCGCACAAATTCGTCGAAATTCGCGAAACAAATCGTCCTTCGTTGAAGATTTAGATACCTTTTTTCCCGTCATATTGGATACTTCAAGATCGTCCGATCCAATCACACAATCTTCCGTTCTTTTCGACACCTCATTCGACGTTTTTGTCGGAATTTTTATTTTTTTCTTAATCGGTCCAGTCGTCGATTGATCTTCCAATGAATTTTCTTTCCTTTTGATCGTAGCTTTTGGTTTGGTCGTTTTGAATGGGCCTTATGTAATAAAAAACAAAATAAACACCACAACAACAACAAATTATGCAAAATCAAAACAAATAATATAAATGTTACAAAATGAATGGTCACAAAATGAAAAATCTTTTCTCATTTCTTCGTCTACTTCTTCGTTGCAATTGAATATGAAATATAAACATAATAAAAAAAAAAAAAAAAGAAAAAATCGTATCGATAGCCTTTCAAATTGATGGGTCTCAAGTTGAGCAAAAATAATACGGTTTAATCGGTACTAAATAATAGTAGTGCATTATTATTTTTCAATACAACACCACCACCACCACTACCACCATCATCGTGAAGAGTAGAAAATCATTGGTGGTGTAATCTACGAACTGGATACAAAAATGGTGCACTCTAGCAAAAGAGCCTTTGTGTTTATATAAATCACTTGTCAATCTTTTTCTCTCTCTCTCTCTTCCGTCAAATCGATGCATACAAACAAGGATAGAAGACGTTATTGGTCATCATCATCATCATTGTGATAGTAAACACATAAAAGTCTTCTGTTACGGAAAATTGATAGTCATAATTTGTAGATTATTGATTTAATAATTACGTCAATTAATACACTCACCATTTGTATCGGATTTTTTTTATCGATAGTCTCATGTAAAATAATAAATGAAAGAGAGAAAGAGAGAAAGAGAGAGAGAGAGAGAGGAGGAGAATAAACGATCGAAAGTTTCGTTTAACACCGTTGATTAACCGTGTCAGTCATTTATGACTGACATTGAACTTCACGTTCGGGTCGTGTCAAGCATTTGTGCCTGACACTCACACCTGACGAAGATATTCGTCAAAATTTGCGTTTGAGCTCTCAACGGTGTTGAACATCTTGTAAGAATTGTAAGAATTTTGTTCTCTCGAAATATCGAATGAAAGTCGGATCTTTTTCTTTCCCCCTCCCCTCCTCTCCCCCCCTCCAAGATTTTCTTATTTCTTTTTTTCGTGGACTAATTTCTGTGTCACCGGATATATATCGTTGCTACGAGATGACGATGATGACACACGATTACGTCATAATCAATTTCAAAATAATGTGCCGAATATAAAGAATATCTCATTATTATTTTTATAAAACGATGATAACGACGATATCTGTGATATATTTAGGAAAATATATATATGTTATAAATAAACGAAACAAAAAAAAAACAAAAAAAAAAGAAGAAGAAGAAGAAACCAAAAAGAAAGCATTGAATAATAATAAAGAACATAACTCGAGAAAGATAAGAAAAATTAATCGAAGTTCAAGGATAATAATGCGGCGGGGTTGTTGGTTGTTTGTTTGTGTTGTGGATAGGGCAGGGATCAAAAGATTTGTGGAAACAATTCGTGGAAAAATTTGTTTCCGGTCATCTATCTGGATTGATCCAACCAATTGAATGTGAACAAAATAAAAAAAAAAGAAAGAAAGATTAATAGCTCTTACATGATTGATCAAACTCGTGAAGTTTTTCAAGAACCAATTTCTTGTCCTCATCCTGAAGACTATCCCATCCACTGATATCCTCGTCAGGATCTTCTATTCGTTTAGTTGTAGCTCGTTGTTTTGCAAATACTTCAAATAGGCAGGACAAATGATGCCACGCTTTCATCTTTGAACCATCCGAAAATGGATTTGCTATTAATTTGGCTATCCTTATTTCATCCTTGTCTATTGGACCTTTACACTTTTTGCATTTTGCACGACCAGATTTGGCACGTTCCACTGCAAATGGTTTTTCATCTTCCTCTTCCTCCATGATCTGATACAAACAATAATTTTCATTAATATATTTGTTAGATATTGGGATCTCTAACACTTGAATACGCTATCTGGTGGTTACATTCAAAATTAGAGTAGATAGGTCGAATTGCTACATCACGTGGGATCTCTAGCACTTGAATACGCTATCTGGTGGTTAAATTCAAAATTAGAGTA